GCACAAATTATTCTCCTTATTAAATTATTGTTGCTAGTATTGCCTAAGGATCTAGCAACAGTGGAATTGGAAATCTTAAGTGCACAAAGTATTTAGGAAGTCTAAAGAATTATACATGATAATATTCAGCCATATCTTCTACTAACATGGATGAAATAGAACTTGGTTTTATAAAATCTAAGATTTTGATAATTCTCTTTTATAATATATGACAATAAAACAGCTAAAACTGATGTAACCCTTGTAGAATTTTTTTACAACACCTTTTTAAAGATATATGTACTTCCTGATAAGCAGAGACGATGTAATAGTGACCTATTATGGGCAAAGAAGTTTCTATAAAAACACTCAAGTGGTGGTGCATGCACAGTTTCAGTTAGTTATTCAAGCCATTTTTTTTGTCTTCAGAAAAAGAAAACTAAGTAGAAGATCATGGCAAGTCCAGACTGGGGATATGATGGCAAAAATGGTAAGAATTCTTCTGCTCACATAGATCTAAATAATAGCTTATTTCCTTTTCCAATAGAAGAGGTATTAAACATTTAAAATAACTATACCACCATAGGTTAATTGTTTGAATTGCTGGCTTTAAATAAGTATAATACCTTTGCATGTATTCTTAACAGTTGTCCATGGGCCATTATTGTCTACAAAATGTGTTTGATTTATATTTAGGTCACTAAACATGAGATGTCCAATTTCGAATCAAAAGTGTAGTTTATTATATCTCAAACAAGAAGCAGTATAATTAATCAAAGTATGTGCCTAAACTATCCACACAGTTTTGCCATCTTGATGGTAGCTTGCTTATCCCAGCAGCAAAGAAGCCTGGAGAGTGAGTGGCGATGAAATCACGAAAGGCGTTTCCCACAGCTTGTTGAAAATTGAATATTTGTCCTTGTAATAAGTGATCCAAAGCCTGGAAGAAGTGGTAGACAGTTGGTTCAAGGTCTGGTGAATATGGTGGATGACAGAGAGTTTCCAAGTCCACCCTCTGTAGTTTGACCAATGTTGTTTGTGCCGTATGTGGTCAAGTGCTATCTTGCAAGAGGATTGGCCTCGCTCTATTGACAAATCTTAGATGCTTAATCACAAGCATCCTCATCATTTCCTCTAATTGGTTGCAGCAGACACTTGCTGTAATTGATTGACCAGGTTCTATGAAGCCGAAGTGGATAATACCAGTGCTGTACCACCAAACAGACACCATTAGCTTTTTTGATGAATATTCGGTTTTGGACTGTGTTTTGGCACTTCGTCTTTATCCAACCATTGTGTCAAATGCTTGTGATTGTCAAAAAGAATTCATTTCTCTTCACACATAACAATATGGTGTAGAAATGGTTCACTTTTATGTCGTGATAGCAAAGAAAGGCAAGCTTCAAGGTGATTTCTCTTCTGACATCCGTTTAATTCATGTGGTACCCATCTATCCAGCTTCTTTACCTGGAACTTCTCAAACCATCAACGTACTATGTGTTCATTAGCCACATCTTTCTCAAACACTTCGTTGATATTTTGAGCTGTCTGCACTGCCTTGGTTCCACAATG